TGTAGTCAAGGTTTATCTGAGAATATTTGGTTTTTTACCCAAGCCTTATCTACATAGCACATGGTAATTAAAAGTACCAGACTGGGGGCTGGAGAGATGGCTCCGTGGTTAAGAGCACTGACTGCTCTCGCAGGGGACCCGGGTTCAATTCCCAGCACTCACATGGCAGCTACGAATCATCCTAACTCCAGTTCCAGGGGAATCCGAAGCCCTCTTCTGACCTCTGTGGCATTGCATGACATGAGTGCACTCACACACATGCAGGCAATACACTTATACACATAAAATAAATAATTTTAATTAAAAAAAAAAAAGTACCAGACTGGTGGAACTAACCTTCTTGGATGTTTAACAGCCATACTTTGAGACCTATACTAATTTGGTCAGAGGGACTTAAAGGACTTAAAGGACAGTTTTTGCTCCTTGCCCTCCTAGGTCGACTAAGTTCCTGAGGACTATGAAGCATCTCTCAAAATATCCTGTAACTTTAGTGAGTCACCTGTCCTCTTGATCAAGGAGGCCATGGAGACCCCACCAGATGGAAAGTAAAGCCAGCCACAGTCCAACAGGACCTTTGACTTATCTTCACATAGATGGAACTGGTAAAAGGAGCCAGGGGCTCCTCCCAAGCCCATGTGATCCCTGAGGAACAGATCCTCAAACAACCTTAAAAATAAAGATAAATTGGTTTATCTGGGCCAATTGCATGGTCTTAAACACCCAAAAGGAAAGTATAAACAAAGATTAAAGGGATCAATATAATTCTTTAAGAGTCCATGTGTATAGCTAAAGGCTACATAACAAGAAACAATGCCAGACAAGAGATACCTTCCTTTGAGTTTTGGCCAGGTTGGCCCAAGAGACTCCCAGACAGTAACCCAGAACAGAAGTGGGAAAATGAACAGCAGACCCCAGTCTTATCTAAAGGAATACTGACAACTGATTGCTCCTAGATGAGGAAGAGCTGATCTTCCTAAAACAAGGGACTCTAGATAGGCTGACCAGATTCAGCGGATGGACTAGCATTGGGAAATGGCAGGGGGCTCTAACAACACAGTGGACAGTAACAGAGATGATAGAGTGTATGGGCTCCAATGTGGGGGGTAGCAGCTAGGGGGAGGGCGCCATTTGGGATGTGGGTATATAGATGAATAAGATTGTTTGGGATATTCTGTATGAAATACACACAAAAAAAAAGTTATATCTGAAGAAGCAGCATAAAAATTTGCTTCATATTAATTAGCAGATGTGAAAAACATTACCATTGAAATCTACCTGATGACTTTATATCCATGCTCAGGTGCCAAGGATCTCAGAAAGTAACCAACTGTGACTAGTAATAATCAGATATATAGAGATTAGAGAAGCATGTACAAACATCTAAGTGTTAGTTACATTAAAAATGAGTTTTTCTGTATGAAACAGTGTATTTTAAAATGAAATAGAGATCTTTTTTTAAAGGTTAAAACCTCAATTTTATGTCTTATAGGGTTTATACTAAGTACAATATTGTATAACTGTACATTCAACTGTAAACATAAAATTTACAGCCAATTTTGAAAGAGATGCATCTTAGCTCTGGAAATTGTTATTGAATATGTTAATGCCGTTGTAAGGAAATGCTTTTAGTTTTGTGGTTATTAAATAAGTGATTTTTTAAAATTCAGTTAAAAAAGTAAATAGATAATAAAATTTAATTTTAAAAACTTAAAAAAAATAAGACGTAAGTAGTATGTTCTGTATATCTAATAACACAAAGCATTTTATTCCATAGAAAATATAAATTTAAAATATCAATTCTTGAACTAAAAAAAAGACTATTTAGGGAGAAAGAGTTCATACCTGTATTTTGCTTTTTCATGAACCCAGACATACTCTGGGTTTTTCAAACTCAAGCGTGCAAGGTCCTTTACGGATTTGGTTTGTGTGGCTGAGAAAAGTAAAGTCTGGCGTTTCTTAGGAAGATTTTCAATGATAGCATTCATGGTATCAGCAAAGCCCATATCCAAGATCCTATCTGCTTCATCAAGAACTAAAAAAAGAAAATTACAAGTTGGTCTATAATATTTAAAGTATACAAGAAGCTGAAAGAAATTTTAATACACTAGACTGAATACTAAGGACGAAAAAGACATTGGCTGAGTGGGGATACAGTTCAGTGACAGCATACTTGGTTAGCAAGTGCAAGGACCTGACTTCAAACCCCAGAATCACAATCTTAAAAAACAACAACAAAAGATCACAATGGAAAAACTGATGAAATCTAAAGGAAAAAAAAATCCTACAGTTAAATTTACACAGTATACTAGTGTTACTTTTAACAAAGACACCATAGTTATGTACAAGTTTAAAACTAGGAGAAACTGGGTAAAGGGCAGTAGAGAAACCCTTACTATCACTGCTACATTTCTGAAAGTACAGAAATTTTTCAAAAGAGAAAAATTAGCAAAATATTCATTAAGTAATATCATTCTGTAAAAAAGAAAACATTCATTAAAACAAATGATAAGTTGACTTTTTAAGTTACAAAAAGTAGCTCACACTCAAAAGAAACAAAAACGTAGCTGGGCGTGGTGGCACATGCCTTTAATCCTAGCACTCTCCCAGCAGAGGCAGGCAGATCTCTGAGTTCAAGGCCAGCCTGGAGTTCCAAGCTAGCTGGGGCTACACAGAGACCCTGTCTCAAAAAAGACCAAAAAAGAAAAAAGAAAACAAAAAAGATGAGTCTCAGGGGATGGCTCAGTGAACAAAGCACTTGTCACTAATGCATGAGGAAAAGAATTCAGATCCCCAGCACCCACATAAAAAGTCTGGCAGGCATACTGGCCTGCCTGTACTCCCAGCACTCAGGAGACAGAAACAAGGGATCCCCAGGGCAAGCTAGTTAACTATACTAGCCAATCTAGTGAGTGCAAGCCTCAGTAAATAAGGTGGAGAGCAATAGAGGAAGCCACTGGACATCAACCTGTGGCCTGCATGTGCACCCACACAAGTGTGAACATACACATACCACACACACATCATATACCAGGAAAGAAAAAGAAAAAACTGTCAGTGCCTAATACTCAAGTGCCTGGTTCCGTATGTAAACTTTCAATTAAAAAAAAAAAAAAGAGCAACCCTGGACTCTGGGTTTAACAGCCCAAATTCCAAAAATTAAAAAAAAGTACAAATTATTTCTCAGATTATTTTCATCACAATTTCTGTCCATTATAACTTCTGTTCACTATTAACTATAAGGAGGGCTCACTTGCTAATGAGGTTTTTCTTCATTAGAAATCAAAGACCTACCTAACATTTGGAGATTGGTGGCATGAAAACATATTGTTTCATCCATGTGTTGAAGAAGTCTCCCTGGTGTGCAAACGAGTATACTTATGTTGTTAATCCTCTCAGCTTCATGTTTCAGATCCTGCAAACAGTTTTTCTTTGGATTACACATACATGTCCTAAAGCAGACTATGAGTCAAAACTACAAAAGCCACCTGCATATGGCATTTGGTCAGAGCAGCTTACTCTTAGAAATAAATATTACTTCTCCCTTCCATTTCAGTACCACACCCACATGTCTAGGTTAAATGAAAGTCCTCAGTGAAAACCTAAGAAGCTCAAAGTTCTTCTAGACTCTTCATCTAGAAGGATTTTGAGGCCAAGAAAAATTAATAAATGAATGTGCCAAGATGTGATTTCCTAAGCCACTAGCTGACTTAAAAGCTGGAATTACTCGCACTGTTTGGGTCAGGACCAGGGGCACAGATCAGGCTTTCCCATATTAATTCCCATATTTTATGGACTAGGGGGAAAACGCTAACATTATGGTTTAAAGGTTTTCTCCTTGAGACAAAAACCACCAGGTGCTGCTAAATATTAAAGAAACAGGTACAAGTAGGGATTGGGATGTTATTCTTTCTTTTCTTGTATATATCTGGGTTCTGGGTTCATTCTCCATTGCTGTGACAAAACACTCTGACCACTACCAACATGGGGAGGAAAGGATTTATTTGGCTTACATCACCCGGGTCACTGTTCATCAGGGCGCCCAAGAAACTTAGGGAAGGAACCTGGAGGCAGGAACTGAAACACAAGCCCTGGAGGAACTCTGCTTACTGGCTTGCTCCCCTGGCCCCTGCTCAGCCTGCTTTCTTATGCAATACAGGCTCACCTGCCCAGGGGTGATACCACCCACATTGGGCTGGGCCCTCCCACATCACTCAACAATCAAGATGCCCCACAGACATGGACACAGGCCAGTTCAATGGAGGCAACTCCCCAGTTGAGGCTCCCTCAACCCAAGTGTCAAGTTGACACTGAAGCTATCCAGCACAATTGACCCCTTGTCAACTTGACACACAAACACATCACTATTAGCCATAACCTTTCCAATTCTTGTCCCCAAGATATGATGTTAATATCAGAACATAAGACAGTACAACCTTAAAAGCCCCACAGTCCTTAAAAAAACCCAAACACTTAAGTCCACAGTCTCTTTTAAAAGTTCTTTAACTGTGTGTGGACTTCTGTAAAATCCAAAACAAGTACTGTTATTTCAAAGGGAAGAATCGAAGAATCGGGCACACCTAAGCCAAACCAAGGTCCAGCAACCGTAGCACAAGGGTGCACATCTGGGATTCACTCAGGGTCTTCTGGGCTCCATAGGGTCCTGGCAGCTCCACTTTTCTGGCTCTGCCATCCGCAACACACACAGCTCACTCATCTCACAGACCCAGGCCGGCTGCGTTCCACACCTGCCCCTGCCCCTGCCCCTGCCCCTGCCCCTGCCCCTGCCCCTGCCCCTGCCCCTGCCCCTGCCCCTGCCCCTGCCCCTGCCCCTGCCCCTGCCCCTGCCCCTGCCCCTGCCCCTGCCCCTGCCCCTGCCCCTGCCCCTGCCCCTGCCCCTGCCCCTGCCCCTGCCCCTGCCCCTGCCCCTGCCCCTGCCCCTGCCCCTGCCCCTGCCCCTGCCCCTGCCCCTGCCCCTGCCCCTGCCCCTGCCCCCATGCAGGAGACTCTTACACATTACCAAGTCCTGCTTCTAGCTTGAGATAGAGGCTCAGGTCCCCTCTGTGTGCTGACCCTGAGGAAATACCTCCCAGAAGACTTCACCTCAGTGATGCTGGTCTCTTGTTACTTACAGCTGATTTTTCAGCCCCAGCTAACCAGTAGAGCAACGGTTTTACTTCAGGTTCTGGTCTCTTCTTAATCACAGCTGATTCTTCAGCCCCAGCCAACCAGAACCCACAGATTCTCAATTCAAAATATCACCCCAACAGCCCTGATAGTCTCTGCTTCCCTTTGAAGCTTCATAAGCCAGGTCTCCATCGTCCACAACTCTTTCAACATAACTGTTCCAAGCTCCATAGCAACAAACTCTAAGCAGGCAATGGCTTTTCAAGCCCAAAGTTCCAAACGCTTCCACAATCCTCCAACGTCAGGTCCGTCACAGCAGTACCCCATTCTCGGTACCAATTCCTGTTCTGGTTTGATTCTCCATTGCTGTGACAAAACACTCTGACCACTACCAACATGGGGAGGAAAGGGTTTATTTGACTTATATCTCCCAGGTCACAGTTCATCAGGGCACCCAAGACAGAAACTCAGGGCAGGAACCTGGAGGCAGGAGCTAGAGCACAAGCCATGGAGGAATGCTGCTTACTGGCTTGCTCCCCTGGCCCCTGCTCAGCCTATTCAATGGAGGCAATTCCCCAACTGAGGCTCCATCAACCTAGGTGCATCAAGTTGACACTAAAGCTATCCAGCACAATCTGCATCGAAATTCAACTATCCATCCTCACTATAGCAGATACAACCATTTCAAGTATACACTTAACTTCACATTCAAAACACTAATCCTAACAACCACATTTCTATGAATCCAAGCATCATACCCACGATTCCGATACGACCAACTAATACACTTACTATGAAAAAACTTCCTCCCTCTAACCCTAGCATTCTGCATATGACACATCTCAATACCAATACAAAGTAGACAAAAGTCGACCAGAAAGTTTTTCCATGACCTAAATAAACACTCCTCAAAGCCATCTATCTTCCTTTCATCTGGTATTGACACAGCAATCTTTTTTACTCCACCTCTTAGATATCCTGTTAAAGGTACTAGGTCAGTAATGCTGTGATGTTATCTTTCTCAAAGCATATGAACAAGTAGGTTTACTCTAGTTGGCCTATACATCTGTCTGAAAGCCTCATCAACTCAGATACTCTGACAAAAATGGACCTTCTGGGACAAGAAATTAATGAGCAGACACCCAATAACAGTGACCACACCAAGGTGCAATGATCTCCTGAGGCCCTGACTAGAAGGCCAATCCATTTAGATGAATCCTCCATCTCCTCCCTCCCTGTGACCTGCACAATGATCTAATACAGGCTGTTAAAGGAAAGAACAGAGAAGAACAAACCTTTCCACCAATGATGAGGCCAGCTGAAAAGTCATGATTTTTTCCTACTTTTCGCAGAACTTCAAAGGTCTGATACGCCAATTCTCTAGTAGGTGATATTATCAGAACCCCCAGGCCATCTGTTGAAGTCCACTGCAGACGGTATAAGGCTTCCAAGACCTTGATAAGAAGAGCAAATTTATGTTCAATAATCCCTCAGAAAAGTCCACTTTTTGACTCAAGTTTCAATTTTGCCCCTCAAATCAAAGACACCATCAAGCACAAGGCATTCCACTCACAAGTTTTATAGTATCTGAAAGAGATGTTTTCTTCCATCTACCAGAAGCAGACAACCCCAATTCAGAGGGAAGAGAGAAGCCCTATAGCAACTCACCTGATGTCAGAGCCATACTATCAGAAAACTGGCTACTTGAGAGGCCATTTGTGGCCCATAGACCACTGAAGAACACTACCATTTTCTGAATAGAAATCAAACTACAATAGTATAACAAATAGAGTTATATAATGACTGAATACCCATATATAGAAAGACACTGAAAGAAAAAAACTAATTAGCATGTAAAAGAAAAACAGACTTGAAGTACTGAAGTACTTGGAACAAAAATTGTCATTTTTTTTTCCCCCTTCCAGTGCCAATTGTTTCTGTAGGAACCAAATTGGGAAACCAGCTAAATAACTGAGAGAAGTAAATACCTAAGCAGCTCTACTGCCCTACTGCTCTACAGGGCAGCTACCAATGATCCAGAAAATTCTCAACCAACACCCAAATCCCCTTGAAATGAGCTGCTATAGAACACTATCTTCCAAGCATAACAGCCTTCATCTTCATCAGAATAGCTGTGACTATTTGCAAACAATCCCCAAGATCAGACTTAACAGTTAATGTTCCCTCCTATGAAAGGGTGAGAGGGTCACTGAATCCTCACCTGAGATTCTGGCTGCTCCTTCTAGTATCTCCCAGCCATTTCTATGTAATTCTCTACTAAATTCTAATACTAAACGTAGCCTTGGGACCTCAGAAGGTACAAGAGTAACTCAACTGTGAAAGGTTAACTGAAGAGGGGCTCCATCTGTGCAGCTAAGAGGATGTCATAATCCAAAATGGGGTGAGACTTTCCAGCTTTGGAGTCATTCATGCTCTTGTAAGAAACTTCTCATCCATATTCTTGTAAGTAAGCCCAATAAACTCACTGGTTCCCCATGTGGACTTTGGTGGAATTGTTCTTTGGTTTATTGTCAGTATCCCTATAAAAAAGGACTAGATATTTGTTTAACATCTCTGTGCTGAACAGCTTTAGTGTCAACTTGACACACCTGGGTTGAGGGAACCTCAGTTGGGGAACTGCCTTCATTGGACTGGCCTGTGGCAATGTTCATGGGGCACCTTCTTGATTGTTGAGTGATGTGGGAGGGCCCAGCCCACTGTGGGTAGTACCACCCCTGGGCAGGTGGGCCTGTGTTGTATAAGAAAGCAGGCTGAGCAGGGGTCAGGGGAGCAAGCCAGTAACCACATTCCTCCATGGCCTGTGCTCCAGCTCCTGCCTCCAGGTTCCTGGCCTAAGTTCCTACCTTGGGCTTCCTGATGAACTGTGACCTGGGAGATGTAAGCTAAATAAACCCTCTCCTCCCCAAGTTGGTATTGGTCAGAGTGTTTTGTCACAGCAATGGAGAAACAAACTAGGACAATCTCCCTAGGGAAAGAATTCTCACAACATGAGTATATTTCAGCATTATCCAAGACAGGTGGCATGCAGGCTTGCAAGGGTGAAAGCAGAAACAGCTTTCCCACCAGTTCTACTGGGAATTAAATGAAATAAGACAGGCACAGAAAGACAGAGCAGAACCATTCTAAACTGCCACACTGGAACACCTGCCCCCTTCAAGAATGAACAGCTGCCAGGCCTGGTGGCGCACGCCTTTAGTCCCAGCACTCGGGAGGCAGAGGCAGGTAGATCTCTGTGAGTTTAGGCAGGTGGGTCTCTGTGTGTTCCAGGCCAGCTGGGGCTACAGGGAGACCCTGTCTCAAAAAAAAAAAAAAAAAAAAAAAAAAAGAATAAAGAGCTTATAAAAGCATACAAATCCATTCATTCAATAAGTTATTGAGTGCCTGCCATGGGCAGGTCACTGTGGTAGGAGCTAGGGAATATGTGGGCAGGGGAAGAACAAGGTAGATGTGGCTCCTTTCTTATCAGGAAACCCAACATGAACAACTGTTTACATAATTACTTTTTCCCTATAGGCACAGAATATTATAAAACTGAACAATATAGGCTCTAAGCCAATATAAATACACTTACTGGAACAAGAAAAGCCAACGTCTTGCCAGATCCAGTTTTGGCAGCTCCAAGCACATCTTTACCTTGCAAAGCCAACCCAATGGTCTGCTTCTGTATCTCTGTTACCAAGCGGTACTGGGCTTCTTGCAAACCTGGAAATGTGGAAAGGAGAACGATTATTTATGAAAATTCCTAAAGGATGATGCTGCAGGCTGGATTGTGTGTTCTCATCACAAACAGATGACTGCAAGGTCTTTTGCTCTATCCTGATAGAAATCAGATAGGCAAAGGGCAGCTGCCTTAATGTTGATGGCCCTGAAGCCACAGTCCTTTAGCCCTATGCCCGGACAACTAGAGGCTTACAGCTCCATCAAACTCACAGAAACGGAACAGAACAATGGTTATCAGATGCTGGGAAACTGCGGAGATTTAGAAGTTTTCTGTGAGAGAACACAAAGCTATAAAGGTGGAATAAGCTCAAGAGGTATTACTGTGGGTTGGGAATAACAGCTAAGTTGGTAGAGTAATGGCCTAGAAGAATGAAGTCCAGGGTTTGATCCTCAGGACTACACAAAACCAGGCACTGTAATATATACCAATAATCCAAGCATTTTTAAGAGGTGGAGGCAGGGGATAAGAAATTCAAGATCATCTTGGGTTATATAACAAGTTTGAGGTAACCTTGGAATACATGTAACCCTATCTCAAAACCAAAAAGTACAGATACACTATATATCATGATAACTATAGCTAGTTATATCATTTGCTTTTATGCTTGAAAATTGCTGAGTGGATTTCTAAGTATCCTTATTATGAAGGAAAAATAAGTACATTAATTAGCTTGATTTATATACATATTCAGGTGCACTTACCTACATGCAGGCAATACATTCATACACATAAAAAATAATATTTTTTTTTAATTTCTACTGCTTAGAACTGTTACTTTGTTATGGCTACCCGAAAAACTAACACAAAAGTTATCATACTTTTGTTTGTTCTCTTATTTATTTTAATTAACAGAATCAACAAGCTTCATTTTAATTTTTCAGACGTTCTCAACATTTTTTAAAACTAATATTCTTTAACCAACCCAGAAAGAATGAGAAAAAATTTATCCAAATTTTGAATTTTAGGCAAGATGGTGGTGCATGCCTTTAATCCCAGCACTCGGAAGGCAGAAGCAGACAGATCTCTGTGAGATCAAAGCCAGGCTGGTCTATCTACATATAGCAAGTTCCAGGCCAGCTGGAAGTGTAGGAAGACTGCCTCAAATAAAAATAATAATAATAAAATAAAAAAGCCTATTTTCTGGTTTTTTTGTTTTTTAATTTAGTATTTTAGAGCTAGGTATCACAGTAAATACCTATAATCCCAACATATTCAGGAGACTGAGGTAGGAGTAGTGCTCTGAGTTTTAAAGACAGTCTGTACTATACAGGGAATCCAAAGCCAATCTTGAACACATAACAAAATCCTGTCTCAAAAAAGCACACCACATTTTGTTTTTCATGATACCAAAATTGTTTGTCAAAATAAGATTTTTCACGTTAACTTTTTAAAAATATTTTATTTATTATTTTTATTTAATGTGTATAAATGTATTGCCTGCATGTATGTAGGTGCACCCATATCATGCAAAGCCTACCAAGGTCAGAAGAGGGCATCGGAGTTAGGACAGTTGTTAGCCACCATGTAGGTGCTAGGAATTGAACCCAAATCCTCTGCAAGAACAGTCAGTGCTCTTGACCACTGAGGCATTTCTCCAGCCCCACGTTTTTCTAAAATGTTTTCTCTTTAAAAGAGGCGTGGAATCAGGGAGATAGCTCAGTTGGTAAAGTTCTTCACAAGCACAAGGACCTATATAAAAATGCCAGGCATCGTGGTACATGATGTCCAACCCAGCACTAGAGAGGTGGAAACAAGGGGATCCCTAGGGTTTGGGGGCCTAGTCTAGCCTAATTGGTGAGCTTCAAGCCAATGAGAGACCCTGTCTTAAAAGAGGTGTACATGTTACTAAAGATAATGTATTACCAGGCCTTCACACATATGTACATGTATGTGCACAGGCATGCATGCATCCACACACACATGCATTAAAAAAATGAAGCTGGACGCAGTAGCACATGCCTCTGACCACAGCACTGGGAAGCAGAGGCGGGCAGATCTCTGTAAGATCAGAGTGAGTTCTAGGCCAACTGTGGCTACAGGGAGCCCGTCTCAAAAAGACCAAAATAAAAAGAAGAAGAAAGGGAGAATGGGAGGGAAGAAGGGAGGGAGGAAATCCAACAATCTATCCTGACATGGCCAAATACCTACCTTTCAATGTTTTTTTGGACAAAGGGAAATCTGAAAATCTTGTAATTTCATTTACATTTATCTGGAAAATAAAAGGTTTTAAAAAGGAAACAATGTCAGATTAAAATGACAGATTAAAACACAAAAATGCTAGATAATTCATTAGTTTCATAAGAACCTTATTTTTCCTCTATGTTGTGCTATCTGACTCATCCTTGGTATTATAGAATTAGATGCGACCATCACTTCTAAATGAAAGTTATTACTGCTTCTAAAATGAAATTTATTTTGAGGAAGGTGTCTTAAACCAAATCAAGGGTTTGCAAGAAGACTGCCACAAGATTGAGGCCAGCCCTGGAATACACAGGGAGTTCTAGACCACATGAAGCATGTACACACTAGATTAGACATCTTTCATCCCCAAAATGCTGTTGTTGTTTTGGTTCATGGTAGGGTTTTGCCACAGAAATACATATACTTTTAATGTTAACAAAATAATTCATCACGAAATCAGCTGTGGGAGGAAATCTTACTTTACTCATTTTTCAAGGACTAATTTACAAAATAAGAGCAAAACTTCCCATGACATAATCCCAACACTTGGGGGAGGCAGGAGGATGAGGAGTTCTGTCATCCTCAGCAACATAGCAAGTTTGAGGTCATCATCTACATAAGATGCTGCTTAAAAGAAAAAGAGAAGACAAAGTGACTATGAGCCCAAGCCCACGATGAAAATAGTTCGTTACAATACCTCCTTAGAGAAAAGATTGATATTAGCTGGAGAAATTAATCTGAACAGCACACAGTTTTGGCTATGCTATACATCACTGACATAAGAAATCCAACCTGACTACTACTGGTTTGTGGCAGACTGAAGGAGGGGCATAAAAGAAGCCACAGATGTCTGAATCATATTTTGAAGTCAGAGTAACATTCTGTCCCTTTAATTTTACAATATTCAAATGTTCACTACTGCTGTTCTTCATTAACATAAACCCAATTTCCTTTATTTCACTTTAGAAACTCAAAATTATTTCACTGCAAATGCTGAATGTAGCAATTCAGTACTCAGATAAGGGAATGTGCTACCAAATTTCCAGAACTCACAGAAAAGGAAAGTTACATTTGTAAGATTCACTTATTAAAAATTACACTGTAAGCAGGGCATGGTGGCGCATAACTTTAGTCCCAGCACTCAGAGGCAGGCAGATCTCTGTGAGTTCAAGGCCAGCCTGGTCTACATAGAGTTCCAGGTCAGCTGGGGCTACAGGGAAACCCTGTCTCAAAAAGACCAAGAATAAATAAAGAAATAATAAATAAAATCCCAGTGTAGGGGGCTGGAGAGATGGCTCAGTGGTTAAAAAGCACTAGCAGAAGACCCTGGCTCAGTTCCCAGCACCCACGAGGCAGTGAACAACTGTCTGTAACTCCAGTTCCAGGGGATTTTGTGCCCTCTTCTGGCCTCCGCGGGCATTGCACACACATGGTGCACTTAGATACATGCAGGTAAAACATTCATATACAATAAATAAACCGTAAAAAAAAATCATAATTACATTGTAGACAACAAAGGATTGCTGCTGTATTTCACTTTCCAAACTATATACCATCTTTCCCACGATTCATTTTTTGGGGGGGGGTTGGGGTTGTCTTTTTTTGAGACAATGTCTCCCTGTAGCTCCAGCTGTCCTGGAACTCACTAAGTAGACCAGGCTGGCCTCAAATTCACAGACATCGCCTACCTCTGCCTCCCAAGTGGTACTGGGATCAAAGGCGTGCACCACCACACCCGGCTGTTTCCCACAATTTTTAACATAGGCCAGGCAGGTTTATCCATGCCCTACAAGTCATTCCAGATACCACTGGAGAAGTAGAGTGAACATAAAGAATGGTTTAATCAAATAACATGGTGACCCATTTAGGAATCTCAGTTGGCAGAGTATCAAGATACATTCCTCTTTTCTTGCACTTATGATACCAATGGGCTATTTTCACAGGAAATAGAATACCCAAAGGAAAGGCCTGGCACGGTAGCTCACACCTTTAATCCCAGCACTTGGGAGGCAGAGGCAGGCAGATCTCTTCGAGTTCAAGGCCAGCATGGTCCACATAGTGAATTCCAGGACAGCTGGGGCTACAGGGAGACTCTGTCTCAAAAAAAAAAAAAAAAAAAAAAAAAAAAAAAAGATACCCAAAGGAGGACAGTGTGATGGTTAATACCATCAACCTGAAAGGATACAGACTCACTTAGGAGGCAAAATCCTAGGCATGTCTATACTGGAGTTTCTAGACTGTGTTAATTAAGGGAAGACCTACCCTAACTATAGGCAGCACATTTCATGGTCTAGAGTCCCAGACTGAATGAATAAATGGAGAAAGTGAGCTGAACACCAGCCTTTTTGTTTCCTGACTATGACAATGAGCTCTGTGAATCAAGCTCTTGCTGTCATGCCTTCCCTGCCATGATGGATTGTATCCCCTTTATAAACCAAAACCCTGACCTCCTTAAGTTGCTTCTTGTCAGGTATTCTGGCTCACAGCAATGAGAAAAACAGCTAAGAGAGGAAAATGGTATCAAGAAGTGGGGCTGTTACTATGATAATCTTTACCATGTGGTTTGTAAGCCCTTGGAAATTTTTCTAGGAGGAATTTGGAAGAGTATAGAACATCAGGCTTAAGAAGTCCAGGAATGCTGTAAGCAGAACTTAGTGGGCCATCCAGGTGGGAGTTCAGAAGACCAGAATGCCAAGAGAAATGCAGACAGTACAGCCCCAGTTCATACGGTCCAGAGGCAAAATGACTTTATCAAGAACTGTACTATGAGTCATTCATGCTGTACTCTCTCCAAGTAACTGACTGCATTCTGCCTATGTCCTAAGAACCTAAGTGAAGCTCAATTCAAAAGTAATAGATTAATTCGTTTAGCCAGGGTATCAGTCACTCAGTGTCAGGGTTATAGCCTACTGCTCTTATTCAGGTCAACAGTGAAAAAGTGCAACGGGTGAAACAAAAATATGAAAACCTTAAGTTTTAGACAAAGTGGTGTTCAGAAAGCAGCTCAAACTGTTACAGATTAGTACCAGTAAAGAGAAATCTTGTATTCTACTGGAGAAGAAGAGGCGCCTTGAGACTAAAACTCCACTCTACCAACTGAAGTCTCTGAAGAAAATGAAAATTCATTTGAAAGAGAAGGGCCTAAACTAAGAATGCTGCTGAAGCGGTTCCATACTTGAAAACTACCTAAGTGTTTCTCTGGGATCAGGAAAAAAAAAAAAACTGGTGCAACTGTAGTCTACTGACAGCAGAACTCAGCAGCATCCACATGGTACTGATTTTGCAGGCATTAAAAATGCAAGGGTCAGGGCTGGAGAGATGGCTCAGTGGTTAAGAGTACTGGCTGCTCTTGCAGAGGACTGGGGATCAGTTCCCAGCACCCACGCAGCAGCTAACAACCAACCATAACTCCAGTTCCAGGGGATCCAATGCCCTCTTCTGACCTCCTTACATGACATGGGTGTACTTACATGCAGGTTTACACTCATAAACATAAAATAAATATTTTTTAAAGTAAAATTAAAATAAATAAAAATGCAAGAGTAAGGGGTCATGGAGGTTTATGCCAAGGATCCAAAGAGGCACTGAGGCCAGGCAATGCGTGGTTGTGCTGAAGTCTCTGTAGGAAGGCCCTGAGAAGCCATTATGCGACAATGTGAAGGCAAAACCTACACTGGAATAGAAACCCCAGGATGTAGGAGATGCCAGGACTATGGGACATCCACTAGGGAAGCTCCAAGCACAGAGTAGATCCAGCCCAACAGAGAGGATATACATGCTGCAGGCAGAAAAGCTAGAGAGAGGAAGCTACTCAAGCCCACTGGAGCTCAATGATTCCCTCATGAAGCCCCCAGGTTGGACCTCAAGTTTCAGGATTTGATGTTTGCCCTGATGAGTTTTAGTCTTGCTGTGGTCCAATCATTCATTGCTATGACCCCATTTCTCCCTTTTGTAATGAGAATATTTATTCTGTGCTATTATATAATAGAAATATATAACCTGTTTTGATTTTATAGGAGCTCAGAGTTAGGAGTTTGCCTTGAGTATCAGAAGAGACTTTGGACTTTTGAACAATGTTGGGATTCATAAAGACTATGTATCATTTATCTAGAAATGGACTGAATACATTTTACATTGTGAGATGGCTGTGACCCTATGGGGGATAAGGGATGGAAGGTTATGGCTTAAAAGTATTATGTTTGGATGTTGTCTCTCAATTGGCTAGTTCCTCCAAGGGGCGGGGCCTGCGGCGGAGCGTGGACTACTGGGGGACTGCTGGGAGCCATCTTGGGACAGAAGACGCAAGCTGTGGCATGGGGAACGCGCACAGCCACGCGCAGCAGCTCAAGAACAGAATGGCCCAACACTTATGGACCTGGGGCGAGATCGCTGGCCCCTGACTATGGGTGTGGCACAGTCTGGTATGGCGGGCTCTGAGGCGCGGGGCTAGGCACTGCGTACTCATTCCTCTGTTACTCCCCTCTTCCTCCCCCCACAATAATAATAAATGCACATAAAGATATGTTATATGGTTTGCTTGATCATGCAAGAGACCCAAAGGGAATTCAGACGACAGATGTCAAGTTGACAAGAGTAGACTTGTAAAGGTCAATATTGTCAGCAGGACAAGAGCTAAAATCACCTAGGAAACAAACCTCTGGACATGACTATGAGACAGTTTCTAGACTGGGCTGAAGTCTGAAGACCTAAATGTGGGCAGCACCCTTCCATGGGCTAGAGTCCTAGATGGAATAAAAGGAGAAAGTGAGATATTCATCCTTCCCTGCTCCCTGACTCTAGGCACATTTCCAGTGGTCTCACTTCTGCCACCATGTCTCCCCCATCATGATGGGACTGTATACCCCCATTCTAGTCAAAGTAAACCCTTCCCTCCCTAAGTTGCTTCTTGTCAGTTATTTTGGTTACAGCAATGAAAAGTTAACTAATACAGAAGGATACAGGCAGTCAGCTCTGAAATCTCTACCAGACATAGAACAGGCCAATGGGGTTACTCAAAGAACAAAGTACAATACATTTTCCTAAGACTTCCATAGACTATTAGTCTCCTAGAGATTAAATCAATAAAAATGGAACTGTTCTAACATACCACTGTCAACTGCTGTGGTACAGACTAAGCACATTTTATTAAAACAAATGGCCAAGGAAAGAATAGGAAGTTTTGATTCTGCTGATGCCCTAGAGTCAGCAAACCACTGCCTTACAGGTCAAATCCAATTTGCTAGCTGGTTTTGATAATGGTTTTGGTTAAAGACAGCCAGTCATTTATACATTAACTGCATAGTTGTGACAGACTGTATGTATGTCCACAAAGCCTGATATTGACTATGTAGCCCTTTGCCGGTCCTTCCTACAAATTATATTCAAAGGAATACTTGAAGCCACAACAAAAGATGGTCACAGGTCCTAAAGTAACACTCTTCTCCCTTCATCCTTTACTTAGAAACAAAAAGACAACCACCAGTATTACACCACTGAATCTCCACAATCCTCAAAATCCCTCTAAAACAGGGCTGAGAGATGGCTAAGCGGTTAAGAACACTGGTTGTTCTTGCAGAAGACCTGGATTCAAATCCTAGCAGCCACATGGCAGCTAACAACTGTCTGTAACTCCAGTTCCAGGGGATCTGACGGCCTCTTCTGTCCTCCACAGGCATTGCACGACACAGGTACACTTACCTACATAAAGGCAATACATGCATACACCTAAAAAAATATATAAATAGGGGTGGAGAGATGGCTCAGCAGCTAAGAACACTGGTTGTTCTTGCAGAAGACACGGGTTTGAAGCCCAGCACCCACATGTCAGCTAACAACTGTCTGTAACTCCAGTTCCAGGGGATCCAACAGCCTCTTCTGACCTCCGCGGGCATTGCACAACACGGGTGCACTTACCTACATGCAGGCAATACACACATACACGTAAAATATATCTTTTTGAGACAGGGTCTCCCTGTAGCCTCAGCTGTCCTGGAACTCACTATGTAGACCAGGAGGGCCTTGAACTCACAGAGATCCGCCTGCCTCTGCCTCCCGAGTGCTGGGATTAAAGGCATGCGCCACCACGCCCGGCTTATAATAAAATTTTTTTAACAATCCCTCTAAAACACATCCCTTCAAAAACAGTGAGCAAATAGTTTAAGGATGGTTCCAATTAAAGAGTTCAACAATGGTGGAAGCAGAGGAAAAAACAGGTTGATTATCATGTGATCGCCTTCATACTTTTTACAACTCTTTCTCTGACAATACTTATTTCTCACAAATGTGAATGTCTAGAATAAAAAGGATAAAAACTCCATAGAATGTTCTTTCCACTTGCTACAATCAAGAGAAAAAGCAATCTGGCACCACTCACCAGACCAAATTTTTATTACCGAAAAAAAAAAAAAAAGCTAGAATGCAGAATTTCTATGTAGCATAATTATAATAGTCTACATGAACCTCAGGTGTCAAAAATTAAATCACTCAGGAATTGTAAAAATAATTAGGTAAAGGCATACAAGTAAGAAATAAGAAAGAACTCAGAAGGGCTCTGGATAGAGCAAAATAAGCAAGTAGACCACAGGAATAAACCAAGCAAGGCTGAGGCTACATTCCCTAAGCAATTCCAGTCACAGTTGAAAACAAAATCCAAAAGCATTATTTATGGCTTCTTCTTTAATATCTCTGTGACAGGCACTGTGCATACTGCTTTCCTTGTATTATCATACTAACTCTCCACAAATTAGACCACACTATTATTAGACCTTTTTTTATTTGCATATTGGCCTTGGTCTTTCCTTTTTTTTTTTTTTATTAGACCTTTTAAAGACAAGGGGGGAAGCTGATAGAGTGAGTAGCTTGCACAAAGTCACACAGCTGGTGAACAATACCATCATCAAATCATCATCTGAACCAAACCAACTCTTCAGCTCTATCTATTCTAACGGCTGATCCTGGTGTTTTTAAAAAGAAGGCTATGTCAGAACAAGTGATGATTTTAATTCTAGGATCATCCACCTACACTAGGAAGGTGGCAGACATTAAGAGGGGAGTGAGGTGGGTGAATACTGGGAAATACGGCATTTACAAGGAAGAAATGGAAGTAACATTCCTAAGGAGCAGGAACCCCGAGGCAGGAAGAGAACTCAGGCTGTCAGTGTAAGCTTTGGGAATACACAGCTACCCCAAGTCACAGAAACAGAGCAGCAAGCAGTCCAGCTTTTCGACACCAATTCTTGGTAGAGAACATGAACCTGAAGAAGGACATGAGACGCTGCACAGAGCACGGAGGACACTGAGGGATCCAGTATAATTCTAAAGTTAAACAACAAAGGTTTGGAAACTACACATAGGTAGTAGTTCCTACCAGATCAGAGTACCTAGGAAAGTTTCTTATCCTCCACAAACTCTTCCCATCTGCAAAATGGAGAATTAAGATCCAGACCTCAGAATGGGACAAAGAATTCAAGTAAAACATATGATAAGTACTTTAAATGGTAGATAGTCTTATTTCTATTATTTTAAACATTTTCCGAGAACAATTCTCTTTGATAATTTCATTACGGTTTTGTTTTTGTTTTTTTGTTTTTTTTTCGTGTATCCCAGGCTGGCCTCGAACTTACCATGTAGCGATGATTTCCAAATCCCCCCCCCCATTTACTTCCGATCCCCTGCCTCCGCATCAGGAATGTTCAGTATGTACCCCAGTTTATGTGGTGCTGGGGATCGAACCCCAGGGCTTGGAGCGTGCAAGCAAAGCACTCTACCGAGCTCCATCCCCAGTCCTTCTGCACAACTGTTACTACCACGACTGCTTTAGTACTGTAACCATGGCAACATCACGGCTCTGGGCCTTTAAGTACCACTGCCTTTCCATCACTTCTGCAAGAAGAGTGTGGCAAGGAGAAGAGAAGCGGGACCTGGCCAGCGACAGACGACATCAGGCGGCGGGTGACTCCCCCCCTCCCCGTCGCCACTAGGATCCGGGCCCCCAGGCTGGGTCCGCGCCCTTCCCGCCGCTGCCCACCTCCCCGGCGACAAACGACCCCGGGCCCGCCTCACCTTCTCGTAGTTCTGCATGAGGCGGCTGATGCCCTCACGCTCGATCTGCCATTCCGGCTTCTTGAGCTGCTTCCTCAGCTCCTTCTTTCGGCTCTGCCGGTGACTGTGTTTCTTCTTCCAGCGATTGAAGCTGCGCACCGGGTCGGGTCGGCCTTCCAAACCCAGAGACTCGGCCGTTTTGCCCATAGTGGCGGCGGCCAAGACCCTCACAGCCCCCTAACGCAGACACCACAGACCCCAACAGCCCCACAGAAGACGAGAAACAAGCGTGTGGAGAATGCGCTCGGGCGCATGCGCAGAGAGAGGAGCCCGCCCCCAAGCCTTGGAGGAATGGGCACATGCCAATGACGACAGCGAAATTACGAGCTGTGATTGGTAGTTTGGCTTCCGTAGGGCGGAGCTGTCTCTGAAGTGCTCCGAGGTGCTGGGCGTGCTCAGCGTGCTTCCTAGCGTGCTCCGAGGGCTCCAGAGCATTCCGGCTTCGAGAAACCGCGCGTGCGCGCTGCTGGTGGCGCGTTGGTGACGTCATACGACCGAACCTTAAAGGAGCGGTGCACGTTTGTTCTGGGTTCAGTGTTACCTAGTTCCAGAGTGCAGGTTTTCACATGTGGAGTCTGTGGGTTCTCATAGTAACCTTCGTATTGCATATTTCAGCTCAGAGGGCGGAAGATGTGTCCAAAATCAAACAGCTAGTCAATGGCTTCTCGTCATCCACCAAACCGTTCCTCCCTGGGAATAAAAGGGATGTTGAATTATGTCACTCAGTTTTCCGCTTCCTCAGCCCCTCATTCTAGACACAGTAATGAGGGTACTGAAACAGTCTAATTGGATTTGCCTTAAAAGACTATTATAAAGGCAAAATGATGACAAAAACTAAAGAATTAATAAAGTATGTTCACTATATAAATCAATCGATTTTTTTCCTTTTTTTTTTTTTTTTTTTAGTGAATTAGTTTTCAATGAATTGAGTTTCATGACACCTTGGGGCTAAAGGGCCCAGGATGAGGCAATGGGAATTGGGAAATTAGGTTCAAAGTTTACAAGTAGAGTGTTTAGGCCCCACGAGTTCCATCCACATAGTCACACAGTTACCCTAACCTTATGCCTATCCCTGAAACAGAAGACAACTTATTCAAAGGTGAACTGTAATATCTTCACATTCATTCAGATACACCAGATGTAGACAAAGTATATACATATATGTATATAAATATACATACATATATAAAATATATAAATATTTTATAAATAGAACAACCATAACCCAGCAGTTCTGCTCCTGGAGATAAAAGAACTGATAGAGTCTCAGAGACGTTTGAGTGTCCATGCTCATATCAACACTAGTCATCAACAAATGAAGGGATAAACATGGTACATATGTAAAAGAAAGTACCCTTTAAAAATAAGGGGAGTCTGACACTATATTATTGGTGTGTCCCCTGGAGCCTGAGTGTTGGGTCCTGTTGCAGTTAACTAGAACTTTGCAGAAAAGTAAACCAACATAGTGACCGCATGCTTTCTAGATGTTATGAATGACATGGAGAGATAGGTCAACAGTTAAGACTACTTACTACTCTTGCAGAGGACTGGGGTTCAGTTCCTAGCATCCACATGGTAGCTAACAACTGTCTGTAACTCTAGTTTCAGGAAATCTGATGCTCTCTCCTGGCCTCAAAGGGAATTGCATACATTGGTGTGATTATATACATACATGCAAGAAAAACACTCAAATACATAAAAGTAAATAAAGATGTCATGAGTACAGGAGGATATTTCCACAAATCCAAAGATCTTTTCTATAAGTTGCCTATTAAATGTGTGTATCAAATCATTCCACTGTTATGTCATCTTATAACCTTTATCCTATACTGAAGCCCTCTCAGGAGAGGAGATTAATCCTGAATAAAAACACTTCCCCTATCCACATCCCCAGGCTCAGGAAATGCTGAGGAAGAGGGAACAGAAAGAATATAAGAGCCAGAGAATAGGGAGGAGTGCTTTGAAATTCTGTCTTCTGAATAGGTTGTAATCCTTGTACTCAGGAACTCATTACAGCTAGTTAGCTACACAAGACCTAGACAAGATCAAGTCAGTAAGATTAACACTCCAGCAGGCAACACTAATTGGACTCAATAATTTACCAAAAATAAATGGATGGGGGAGAAGACATGATACTTTGTATACTTGCTCTAAATTTCCCAAAGAATAAATAAATGTTTTTTGGGGTTTTTGTTTTGTTTTGTTTTTGTTTATTTGTTTGTTTGGGGTTTTTTGGTATTTAATGCTTAGAAGAAGCGTTTCATTACAACAGTTTGATCTTTTTGAGACAGGGTCTCCCTGTAGCCCCAGCTGTCCTGGAACTCACCATGTAGACCAGGCTGTCCCTGAACTCACAGAGATCCACCTGCCTCTGCCTCCTGAGTGCAGGGATTAAAGGCATGCACCACCACGCCTGGCCCTAAAAGGCATTTTTAAAGAGGGAGATAGAGAGATGGCTAAGCACTAACTGCTCTTCCAGAGAACCCAAGTTTGGTTTCCAGCATCCACTTGGCAACTAATACCCATCCTTAACTCCAGTTCCAGGGGCTCAATGCCCTCTTTTGGCATCCATAGGCATTGCACACATGTGGTGCACTTACGTCAGTCAAAACATTTATGCATATAAAATAAAAATAAACAAAATCTTAAAAGAGAGAGAGAAATTGAGAGAGAGACAGATACTTGCATCCCTCCCTTGGGCTATCAGACTATTGAAATAGGATCCTAAAATAATGGACCCTGTATTACTTTTATGTTGCTGTGATTTTTTAAAAAATGAACAAGGAAACTTGCAGAAGAGTTTATTTAGTTTATGGTTCCAGAGAGATAATTCACTGTGGCAGGGGGCGGGGAGGGGGGCATGTCAGGAGGCAGCCAGAGCAGAAAGCTGAGTGCTCACATCTTCAAGCATGTCTAGGAAGCAAAAAGAGAAACTTGAAATGGGACAGGGCTATGAACACTCAGAGCTCAACCCCACTGACATGCTTCCTCCAGCAAGGCCCATATCTCATAGGGATTCCATGACCTTTCCAAAACAGTGCCAACAACTGACCAAGTGTTCAAATATTTGCGCCTACGTGGGGACACTTCTAATCGAAACTACATTCCATTCCCTGGCCCCCATATCATAATCAAAATACATTTAATCCAACCTTAAAAGTCCCCATAGTCTTTAATATCCTCAACACTACTCAAAAGTCAAAAGTCAAAAGTCTCTTCTTAGACTCAAGACAATCTCTTAACTATAAGCCTCTGTAAAATAAAAAACCAAATGTCATATTTCCAACATACAATGGTATAGAATATACATTCTCATTCCAAAAGGGAGGAACGGGGACATAGTGGGGAAATACCAGACCAATAAAAAGAGTGAAAACCAGCAGAACAAATGCCATATCATATAGCTCCATATCTGGTGTCTGTTCCTTTACATCCAAAGGGCTTAGATGGCTCAGGCTCTCCAACTTTGCTGTTTAAAACATATATTTCTTTCTTGGGCTGGTACCACTTCCTGTATACAGCTCTCCTTGGCAGGCAGTTCTTCATGGCTCTGGCATCTCTAACATCTTGGGATCTCCACTGCCACTCAGGCTTTACCTTCACAGCTTCACAATGGTCTCTCAAGGCCTCTTAACCTTCCAAGGCCTCCTTTATGTAGTGATGTCCCCGCCATATGCTACCTGGCCTCAGCAGTGCTCTGAAACCATGGAGGAAAAAGCAAAAATTCCTTAACTCTTGCATCTTTCATGTCTCTAAAGCCACCACCATGTGAAAAACACTTCCAAGTTTTGCTGTCAGCTTGGGATGGATCTTCACCCCCATGGATCACATTTGCAGCTGCTTTGTATTCTGTGGTTTTCTAGGATCAGAAAATTCCTTAGGCCTTGTCCTTTTACAAGTTGGAAATTTAGCTGGGTGGGGTCTTCCCCTGAAGGTACTCTTTCCATTGTTCAAGTGCAAATCTGGAAGTCTGTCTTTAATGGCTCTAGCTCCTTATCAAAGAGAGCTTCTGTTCCAGGATCCCTTTGGTTGTCTTCATTCCACATTGTTTCCTAATACTCTTTAACTCTCCAAACTGTATATATTGTGCTTCTTTCTACACCACTTTTTCTTTTTCATTGTAGATCTGCATAATATTCAACATCAATACCATACCACAGATTCAGTATTAGGCTGTCTTGAAATTTCCTCCTCCAAAGAAATTGGTCAATTACTTTTTTAATTTAGCCTCAGGCAAGTTCTTAGGCTGTGAGCAGATGACAGCTAGATTCTTTGCCAAAAATGTCCTAGCTGTTTAAGTCCTTGTTTCCATCTCTCTCTGGCACATCTTGAGGTGAGCCTCTAGTAGAACAGCCCATAAGCTCTGCTTACAGCATTCAGAGGCTTTTCTAGTCCAAACTTCCAAAGTCTTCCACATTCTTCAAAAAAACAGGATCAGGTTATTCACAGCAGCACCCCACTTCTGGTACCAGTGTCTATATTAGTTACTTTTCTGTTGCTATGACTAAAAAATAATAATAATAACCAAGGCAACTTATAAAAGGAAGAATTTATTGGTTCCTGAGGCATATGAGTTCATCAAGGGAGACGAAGGGCATGGCTGGAGGCAGCCAGAGCAGAAAGCTGAGTGCTCACATCTTTAAACATGCACAAGAAGCAGAGAGAGAAACTGAAAATGGAATGTGGCTACGAATGTTCAAGTCCCACCCCTGCTGATGTTCATCCTTCAAGAAGACCTCTCTTCATAGGGATTCCATGACCTTCCCAAAACAGCACCACCAACTGACCAAGTGTACAAATACTTGAGCTTATGAGAGACCTCTCATTCAAACCATCACAGACCCCAAAGAATTTCATGCTAGGGGGAAAGGAAAGATTAAAAAGTCCTTGTCTTAGTTTGTTCTTCATTGCTGTGACAAAATACTCTGACCACTACCAACTTGGGGAGGAAAGGGTTTATTTAGCTTACATATCCCAGGTCACAGTTCATCCAGGAGCCCAAGGTAGGAACTCAGGGAAGGAACCTGGAGGCAGGAGCTGGAGCACAGGGCATGGAGGAATGCTGTTTACTGGCTTGCTCCCCTGGCCCCTGCTCAGCCTGCTTTCTTATGCAACACAGGCCCACCTGCCCAGGGGTGGCACCACCCACAGTGGGCTGGGCCACCCACATCACTCATCAAGAAGATGCCCCTCAGACATGGCCACAGGCCAGTCCAATAGAGGAAATTCCCCAACTGAGGCTCCCTCAACC